TCTTAATAAAAAAAATCTTAAGAGTATTATATTAAAATATATTAGATAATATATTATAATAATAGATATAAATTTTACTATTTTATTTATTTATTTATTAATCAAGTTTATCGTCCATATAGATACTTATAGTATATGACAGACCCGTATCRTATAACTAGCTTTGAAGCTTAGTTATCTTATTCCTTTCCAACATTATATATATTCAGGGCATTAATCTCRGTATAATTCAGCGTATCCGCTTATACCTTTTGGCGMTATCCCTTAATAGGRATAGSGCCTCATAGTTACCAACATTTTTGCCAACATTTTTTGGCCTTCTCACCAAGGACTTATCTTTCAATACAAAAGGGGGCTTAACAGGGGGGGCTCAACAGGGGGGACTCAACAGGGGGGGCTCAACAGGGGGGTCACGTTGGGGGACTCAACGCTAGAACTCAACCCTAGAGGGGGGCTAGGGTTGAGCCCTCAATTCAATCRSGGGCGGGGGGGCGCCCGTGAAACATTTGGTCAGAATTTTTGGTGCCGGCGGTGGGAATCGAACCCACGGGCCCACGTTGACGGGGAGCGCCCAGGGGTGCCTAGGCCCTGAGGATGAGGCGCTCGCAAACCCGCGGAAGCGGGCCCCTCCAGACGGCGCATCTGACCACTGCGCCATCCGCCGGCAACTAGATTTATAAATAGAAGAAGTTTTAAAAATTAATATTCTAGTATTATATATATCTTTAAATATTATTCTAGAAAGAAGAATAGATTTATTATTTTCTTAATATAAATATAGCTTTATTTTATAGCTAATATTTATCTACTTATAGAAGAAGTAGATAAAATTCTAGCTATTTCTATCTTCTTAAAAGAAGATATAATAGATTAGTTTAAATTATATATATAAATATAATTTAATAAAATTAAAGATAAATAAGTGTCAGAGAAAGCAAGAAGTCGCAGCCAATGAATCAGGCCCCTATGCACGGAAACTAATGCAAGACAGAACAAAAGGATTATCCACAGCCACTAGGGTTAGAGTAACAGAGCTAACAGAGCCATTTGGTAACAAATAGATATATTAGGAATATTCACCAAGGATAAAGCCAATAGAGCTTTAATAAGAATCTCGCTCTAATAGCTATATTAATAATAGAATATATAAAAATATTCTTTACAGTATATATTTAGTTTTATTTAATTATCTTAAATTAACTACTTAATCTTAAATATACTATTATTTATAGATTTAATTAACTAAAGCTCTTTTATTATTACTTTAGCATACTACTTTTTCCTAAATAGAATACTATCTAATTACTATTAAATAATAAGTTTACTCTAATCTAGATAATTATAAATTATTAATTTATAATAATTCAAGACTCTTATTATAAAAAAAAAGTTTTAATAAAAAAGTAATATCTACTTTTTAGTAAATACTAATACCTCTTAGAATTTAGACCTATAGGCTAGTACTATTAATATCAACTAGAACCCTATCTCACTTATCTAGTAATACTACAACTACTAATAACTAGGATATTATATCTATCCTAGCAAGGATTAAAGAACTTAAAGAATAAGTTATAGATATATATATCAACAGCAGTATTAATCTATAGTTTATAAAATATAGAAAAACCGGCCGGAACACGAGTTTCAACACGAGTTTCGGCACTTTTTGAAAAACAGTCGTTTTTACACGTTTTAGAGGGCCTTTTAGGCTTCTCAGCACCTAAAAACCCCTATATGGACGTCACCAGGACCCTCAAAGGCCCCTGGAGGCCCTATATCGACAGGGGGTGGATTGGGGGTCATTGGTAGCTACTAACCCCCAACGCTAGGAAATCAGGCCCCAGAGGCCTCATAAGCGTCAACCCAGCCATCTTTAGGCTGGTTACGCTTAGTTAAATCAATCTAGGGGTCTCTAGGCGTCGCCCAAGCATTGCTATAAGCCCAGAGACCCTAATAGGCCTTCGAAACAGGCCCTATAGACCAGCTGCTCTCAGGGCTTAGAGACACTATTAAGGCACTATTTAGGAGTGGAATAAGGATTGCTAAGGCCCCTAGCAACAAATATAATCTCCAGAAGAGACCCTACGTCGGCTCCAGCATGGAAAATGACACTCCGGGCATCTCAAGCCTGGTTATAGAGCACTGCAAGGATCTTATAGGGCCTATCCTACGAGAACGCGCAGGGCTTAAGACGACTATTAAAAATCAGGCAGCCCTTATAGAGTCCCTACAACTTAGGGTGGACCACCTGGAACGTGTAGTGCAGGCCCTAGAGACCTTAAAAATCATTCCCCCTAGCGCACCTATATCCATAGAGGTTGGGACAAGCGACTCAGTGCCAAGGCCCGTTCCTAAATCTGGGCTAGCGCCTACCTAAAACAGGCAAGCACCCATAGCTAGTGGCCTAGCACCTAGTTTGAATGGACCCCAGGACCTACCCTAGCATCAGACTCAAGAGAATTGATAGAAATCAACCTCACCAGCGCTAGTGAGMTCCCAGGTAAGGCCTGGAGCGCTAAAACTGGCCCCTAAATCTACTCAGACACCCCTAGAGCCAGCACCTAGAAAGTAGGACCCAAGGGCAATATACACCTAATAAATAAGCGCTAGAGAATAGACTACTATATAATATAGCAAGCAATAAGCAACACCTACAGTGACTAATAAGCCTAGGCCAGTCCCAACAAAGCCTACTAGCACCTAGAGCAAAGAGAAACAACACCTAATCTTCTAGCATAAGAAGCCTCTAGATATGTTTTATAGGAATATTTAAGATATTATCTTAGAGCTTAACTAGGTATTAAGCAATATAGATATATCTAACTTTATAAGAGTAGTTAACACTAGATATACTACTTTAAAATACCTTATAATGCTCCTTTAAGAGGGTATACCCAGTAATATACTTATACCTATCTATAATAATATACTTATTACTATTATATAAAGATATAACCCAGTAGTTATCTTAATAGAGATTAGTAAGTAATAGCAGTGTGTTAAGATCTATAGAGTCTCTATACATCACTATATAAATAGTAAGAATGGTCTAAGCCTAGCCTAGAAAGAGATAGAACTCTAGAAAATATTTAGACTTAAATAGGATCCTATCTAATTAATAAACTCTAGAAAACTAAAGACTAGGAATTAATAAAGTGCTATTATAATAATTATTATAGACTCTAGAGAAGATATCTATAAGATAATTAAATTAGACCTTTAATTCAGCACTCAGTACTATATAATAGAGACTTATAAGAAGATTAACCCTAAGAGTATATATACTTAGTATTATAGAATAGAGCACTCTAACTATTTTAAATATAAAAGCTAACCCTCTAAGTGCTCAATCTATACTAGGGATTATAAGATACTAAGCTATACCTATAATATAATAGATTATAGAGGTAGACCTAGTAAAGCATACCAATACTATCTAATCAAGTATACCAACTACAGTAAGGCTTATAAAGTCTTATCTCCAAGATACCTCTTAGTAAAACAGGCATATAAACACGCTCTCTAATATATACAGGATCACCATCTATAACACTAACTCCCAGCAGGTCAGCAGGTAGGCATAATAGTACTATTACCCCTAAAACCCTAATTAGAGCCCCTAGAAGAGAGCTCTCTAGATCTAGTACTAATAGACACCCCAGGCCCAGAGCCAAATAATATTAAGCTAATAGATATAGAAGCAATACTTATAGCAATTCTAGACTCGCCCCTAAGTTAGGGATCATATTAGTGCTTCAATATAATTATACCCACACCAGCGCTGTAGTCTATATGGTATTAGAAATAGTATTAGAGATTAGTATAGAGATAGCATGCCTCTAGAAGCCCCTAGTAGGTAAACATAATATAAGCTATTCAGACTTCTTATTTTATTGGCTAGAGAGCCCTAGAGAGCATGCCTATATAGTAACTGTGGTTAGATGAGATATAATGGTTAATATGGTTATCAAAGCCCAAACAGACCTGGTAAACCACCCTTATTTTATAGTAGTAGATATTGTAGAGCAAGGCAGGCGTACTAAGGTAGTAAACTATTATAATAGCTGGTTAGGGGCCTCTCACATATATACTGGCGTGAGCCAGCGTAACTAGAGAGCCCTTATAGATATAAATTGGGACTCTATCCTACAGAATAGATGTCTAATTCTTAGGGATTTTAATGCCCATAGCCCCATATAGAATACCCTAAATTCAATAAGAAAAGACATGGAGACTCTAAAAAGACTTATTAATAGATATAGCCTGTTTATTAACAACGAACTAGATATACCTACTAGACCTTATAAGACCTAGATCTCTTAGGGAGCAACTAGGGGTGAGAAGGAGCCTAGCACCTCGATTATTGATCTTATAATTAGTAATGAGGTGCTGGGGCCACTAGATAATTAGGAAATAAAGTAACCAGGCCTAACTATATTAGATTATCTAGTTATCTAGGCCTTATAGGAGCCCTAAGAAGAAGAATCTAATCTCTAAAAAATAATAGTAACTAGATAGGATATTAATACTCTAATAAAGGATGCAGAGAGGATAGAAATAATAGAATATATCTAGAAAAGGCTTATAAGCTTCTATTTAAGCCTAATAGATAACTACTTTTTAGGGGATATAGAAAAAGAAACTATATTAATTAAGAACTCTCTTATTAGGGTGCTTAGAGCATATATCTAGGAAATTAGACTTTATACCTAGTTAAAGCATTGATAGAGTCTTTAGATAATTAAGGCTCAAAGAGTCTATATAAAGACTTATAAGATATATCATACTAGAGAGCTCAGTAAGAAGAACCACTAAGAAGTCTAGAAAGCTTATTACACTACTATACAATAAGTAAAAAGAGAGTATTAAAAGGTCTTTTTATAAAAAATAGATAAGGGCTTCAAGATAAAAAAAAAATAGTATTAGATAGTATTATATTATACTAAATCTATTACTAATAATATTATGCTAGCTCTTCTACACCTAGATATAAGAGAGATAGTGGCGGTAATATTTAATAAGAAGAAGGCTCTCTTTAGGGAATAGACTTTTCTATAAGTTCTAGAGAATAATACCAAGATTAACCTTCTAGAGCCTAGAAATACCTATAATTTAATAATAGAATTAACTATATAGAATATAATTTTTAGCTAAGGGGTTAAAAAGGCTCTAGGGGTTGATTTACTTAATTTCTATGCTATCTAGCTACTTTAGTAACTAGATTAAGCCTAAGTAATAGTATTAATTAAGTAGTATATTAAGCTTAGAATATATTCTAGAACCTAGAAAATCACTAAAGAAGTGCTTCTATAAAAGCTTAATAAGAGCTACTATATAATAGTAAAATATTACTAGATTATAAGCCTGCTTAAGTACCTAAGTAAGATAATAAAAAAACTAGTAATAGAATTTATTACTAAATTTATAAAGTCTAAAAGATTATTCTATAAAGACTAATTTAGTAGACGCCAATAGCATTTTATAATAGATACTATAGTATACCTTATAGACAAGATTAAGTATGCTTGGGGGAACCACAAGATTAGAATATATCTATTTATAGATATTAAGAGGGCCTTTAACCACATAGTAGAGAGCAAGCTTATAGAAGATCTCCAGAAGGCTAAGCTAGATAGAGATTTAATACACTAGATG